AGCATCCTTCTGTTCCATGGGCTCCAAGCCCCTCCACACAGCTCATTCCCCTCTACACCCCAAGCCAGTGTGGAGACCACAGATGCCTTCTGAGTGACAGGACAGGGGAGTTGGGAGTTGAGTGCCTCTTGCCCCAGGCATAAGGCACAAAGAGTTAGGCTTTGTACTCTGGCTCCCTGACATAAACAGGGAGCTGGGCTTAGGCCCCAGAGGCCCAGAAGACACCGAGTGTTGCCCAGAGTGAATAAGGCCTGAGCACGGCTCTGCCAAGGCAGCCCCGAGCCCACAGTGCTTCTGATGACACCTGCTTTGGCGTCTCAGGGGTTAAAACCTGCCCAACCTGGGAGAGGGGGACTTCTGAGTAAACCTCTTCCTACCTCTGAAGAAAAGGTCAGTCTAGGTGCTGACAAGAGCACCCAGAGGTGAAAGCGAAATGCCTGTCGTTGTCCCCAGCCTTGTTTGTGTAGGCTGCAAGGCCAAGACAGCAAACACAGCACATCCGGGAGCCTCCCAGGGTGACTATGGGAATTCCCCCAGGAAGAGCCCCCACCAGCAGCTCCTTCCTGGCCCCTTAGTGACCACTGGCTCCTTCCTTCTGGAGTGGGGCCCACAGGCCCCAGGAGCATATAAGGGGCAGATGACAGGTGCCTGGGCACCAAGACTCCCACGGCAAACTCTGTCAGCAGGTAAGTCACTGCTGCATGGGTGGGCCCAGGCAGGATGGATGTCCCTCTGGGAGTGACATGGCTTTTGCTCTGCTTCCTAGAGCCTGACATCAACCGGGGCCATGCTGCTCTTGCTGACCCTTGCCCTGCTGCTGAGCCCCACCTGCTGGGCACAAGGTGAGTCCGCCTGAGGCTCCCCGTCTAGCTGGCACCTCATCCAAGCCCTCACCACAGACAGAACCTGGCCACAGAGCCTCTATCTGCCTGCAGGATGAGGTTCATGGCTCTGGCAGAGGACCCCTATGTGACCACAGTTTCTTCCCACCTTCTTTTTTAATCTGCAACAAATTGGAAGTTGGCAGACCCTTCACTACCCCTTTCTGCAGTCAGGAGGAAATCAAGGGGATTCGGGTGGCTGTGAGTGTGGTCGGCAACATCATCAGGTGAGTAAGATCGGGGCATGCAAGTGCTAAGTCCCACGTGTCCCACAGCCTTGAGACTACAAGGAGCACCGCTTGCATCCACTTACAGCCTCCTCTCCCAACATCCGCATTTGGCTCCTGGTGACTCTCTGAGGTCATCTGATTCCTAGAATCACGGAGCCACCAGCCACCTCCTTTCCACATGTCTCTTAGCCCAGCTAGTTTCTCTCTTCCTCACTTCTTCCTTACTTGTAAGTCTTACTGTTATCTCCCAGCTCCATCAAAGAGGGTGGCAAGCCAGGCATGCTGGTAAAATCATTTGGGAAGGCTGAGGCAGGAGGATCACAAGTTTTAACCCTTAACAACTCAGCGAGGTCCTGTCTCAAAAGTAAATATATAGATCAATAGATTGATAGGTCAGTAGATAGATAGATAGATAGATAGATAGATAGATAGATAGATGATAGATAGATAGGGCTGGGGTGTGACTCGGAGAAAAGACCTTGGGTTCAGTCTTTGGAACCAAGAAAGAAAGAAGATGGGGAAGAGGAAGAGGGTTGTGTTGCTTCTTCTCCTTTCAATCCAAACTTAGCTCAACCAAAAATGGCTTCTCTATCCCAACACGTGTGGAAAAAGCAGGGGAAGGTCTGTCACATTAGGTCAAAGAGGAAAAGATGCAAGGGTTAGAGTGGGCCACTGACTGGGTACCCCAAGAGGCTTTCCTGAATGCTGTGGCCTCTCTGCCAGAAGCCTGCACAGGGTCACTGCTCTGCACCCAGGGGTGCCAGGGAAGTGGGAAAGGGAAGGGGGCAAAGCAGGCAGAGTGGGCAGAGTGAGGTCAGGTGGCAGAGGCCTGAGGTCCCAAGGGGAACCCTCTCTCTCAGGATGACTCAGGCCAAGGAGGCCAGGCAGCAAACCCATTCTGCATGTGAGGAGAGGTTGGGTGCTGAGTTCAAGGCTACTAGAGCTGAAAGTGCAGAACAAGGTGTGGGTACCAGAGGGCTGGGGACCAGGACCCCAGGAACACTGACTCCTGCCTCACTTTGCCTCTCTCCAAGCCTCCAGGTAAAGCTGGGAAACTACTGGGATATTGTCCATGGCCATAAAGGAGGGACTGTCACAGAATTCAACCTGGATGAGGATGAACACATCACTGAGGTCCATGGCTCCCAGAAGGTCAACCTCCGGTACTTGCTCCTGTGCACCAGCAAGAACCGCTGCGCTGCCTTTGGGAGGAATGATGGCACGCAGTTTTTTGACTTCCCCCCAGTGACAGGCAAGGTGCTCAAGGGCATCAGTGGCTTGGTTGGGCCCATTGGCTTGAAGAATGTCAGCTGCAGGTGGGGTGCTGTAAATCAACCAACTACTGTACCAACTAACGGAACCACTAATGGTTAATAACCAGCATAAGATCTGCTGACACCCGCTGAGGCTGTCTGGAGATGGGTGGATGTCCTGACAGTACTGGGGGACAAAATTGGATTCTGAGTCTACCAATAATTAAATCTTCTGCAGGAACAGTGTCCAGGTGTGGTGCTTGGATCTGAGCGGCCAAAGCCCCTGGGGCTGGAGTCCAGGGAACTGTAGTGTGGGGTGGGGGATAGCGATTACTCTGCGAGTATTCAGGATCTGCCCATGAAGACCCTGAGCCAGCCCCACGTGCTGAGGAGCCAGGTCCCAGGGCCCCTCCAGCTGGTCTCCAGTGGCCAGGCTCGGCTCTGGGCTCCTCCTGGTATGAGGCCTTGGGGAAGCCACTCACCGACAAGTGTGCCAAGGCCTTGTTCCCACCAGGCAGCCCTAGATGCCAGAGTAAAGAAAGGGCTGGGTGTCCAGCTGAGGAGGTGGCTGTCCTGTGAGAAACAGAAGTGCAGCAGATAGCGGCAGCTTGTTGGGGCAACAGCACGGGTGGGGGCACAAGCAGGGCATTGGGCCTCTGCTCACAGGGAGGGAGTGTGCTACAGGGCACACTGAATGAGTCTAGACAGATGAGGGGGAACTGGCCAAGTAGACATGAGGAAGAAGGGCAAAGGCAAGAGCACAAGGAAAGCTGGCTGTGGGGGTGCACAGCTGCAGTCTCAGCTCTTTGGGAAGCTGAGGTGGGAGGATTACAAGTCCAAGTTGTACCAGGGCAATTTAGGGAGACCCTGTCTCAAAATTAAAAAAAAAAATTAAAAAGGGTTGGTCATATAGCTCAGTGAGCAGGCCCTAGGTTCAACTTCTAGTTCTGAAAACAAATGAATGAACAAACAGCTAAAGAAAGCAAAGAACAAGGGTCCACTGTGTGCCCTGCTCGCCAAAGTCTAAGGACAGGATTATCACTGTCCCCATTTGCAAGATGAGAAAACTGAGGCACAGAAGGTGAAATAATTCACACAGCACTAAGTGGCAGAGTTGGGGTTGAGCTGCAAAGTCTGGGCCCTGAGACCCACACTGAAACAAAGATTCCAGAAACATTCCTTCTCTGAATGGCAGCCACCTGGACGTTTTTCTCTTCTCTCTACTTTGGTTTCTATTTTAGTTTTAAATGCTGCTCGAGTAAACTTGGGACTATGGACAAAACTCTAAGAACCCATGATCTGGAGTGGCAAAGAGTTCTCCTTTATTTGTACTGTCTTCTGCTGAAATTTTGTGTTTCTCTCGGTATGACTGTGACTCCACATACCTCACAAACAATGCTCCTCTATTTGTCAGGCCAGGGGCAACTGGCACAGGCAACTTGAAGTGTACATTCGTCACAATTTCAAAATTATGGCTATCATCAGACTCGCCATCAAAGATGGTAATAAGTTCAGATATTTGTGAAAACGCACTTAAGAAAACATTTTGGGGCACAGTAGCCTGTGCCAGGATGCCTAGCACTCTGGGAGGCTGAGGCAGGAGGACTGTGAATCAGAGACTGCCTGGGCTACAGAGCGAGAGACCCTTTCTCAGACAAAGCAAGCAAAAAGAGAAAAGAACGCATTTCTTTTAAGTGTAGTGCCGGGTGGGCAGCTAGCTCTGTCTCTTAGCTTATTTCCTGCCCCTGCCTTGCCGACAGTTTGCAGTACTAGGGGAACCTGAACTCAGGCTGGCAGCTGTGGTAATGGGGGGCAATGGCAGGACCACAGCACACTCCATGCAAATGCCTCCAGGCCTGGCAGTATGGATGGTCACAAATACAAGGGCAGCGATTTTAAAAAGTGAAGTTTTTGCCCAGCATAGGAGAGCAGAGGGGACAGGAGCCAGGGACTTTGAACTCATTGCATTCCCTCGTCTCTTGCCCTGCAGTGCCTCAGTGTGGGGCGCCCGGGCACTCTTCCCAGGTTCCTGCCGCTTGTCCAGCGTCCTGCGGCCCCGCGTTGAAATGGTACTGCCTGAGATGCTGCGCTAGCGGTCCTGATGCAATCCATAGTTCAGTTCGCGAGTGTAGGGTGAAAACTGGGAGGAGGGCTTGAGGATGCCCGAGTTGAGGATGCCTCAGCCCATACTGGCCAGTGAACCAAGAGCCTTCACACTGAGCTACATCTCTAGCCCTTTAAAATGTTGTGGATTTAAACCGGGAATGGTGACGTACCCCTGTAATTTCTGCACCTGGGAGGCTGAGGCAGGAAGATCACATCTAGTGCAAGGCCAGCCTGAGATACATAGTGAGTTCAAGGCCAGCCTGATCTACACAGAGACACCCTGCCTCAAAAAAACAATAACTAACAAAAGAATGGCGAGGTTTGTTTTTAAGACAGACTCATAAAATCGCTAAGTGTAATCCTCCTCCCTCCCGAAGTGCTGGGATTTCAAGCACGGTGCCTTCACTCCAGGCTCCCGATTCTCCTGGTGACAAAAGACCCAGCGGGCATACATAGGTGCAGAGACTTTATTCAACTAGGGGACTCAGGGCCGCTGTGGCCTTGTCACCTCCAGCCTGGACCATCTGGTCTTACGTACGACCCTGCCAGGGCATCCTGAAGGGGAAGCCCAGTGAGAAGATAGAGCCGCTTCCTGAGACCTCCCCCAGGCCGGTGGTTCGCTCTGGAGAAGCCGTGGTGGGTGCTTGAGAGGACAGCTTCTGGGGGGCCAACCCCCACTTGAAGCCGATTCCGGAGAGGCAGAAGAACCAGTGCTGGCCGTTGGCAGTCAGGAGCTGCTGGGCGGCGGAGGGGGCTCGGGCGCTGAACCGCTTGCCGATCGCGCGCCCGAAGCTCGCCTGGCGCCCCCTGCTGGTGGTCCAGCGAAGGTGCCAGATGCAGGCATGCGCGCTGCCGTCCACCGCGGTTATGCGCTCGCCCTCCTCCAGCAGGAACTCCCGCGCGCGCCCTCCGGGAGCCCCGTACCGCTGGCTCCAGCGAGTGCCGAACCGCAGCTGGATGCTGGGGAGAGGCCAAATCACCGTGGCGACCCTGGCTGCCCGCGGGCAGACGCCTGCAGGGCCGGCCGCGCCCCCTCCACTCCAGAACGCGCATGGATTTGCCCTCCTCCTAGCCTGCCCAGAGATGGACTTTGACTGGGCAGGCCAGAGACCAGCGTTACGCTGTGCTTTGCTTGATGATGTCATATGTGACTAGGGAGCCCTGGTCACTGTGTTCCATCAAGGGGATGACCTGGGGTCTTGGAGCAGAAGAAAGATGGCCCTGAAATCGCCACGACTATTTCTAGGTCTAAATTCTTCCCGCTAGTGCATCCTAAGATACAATCCAAGTAGGACTGTGGGTGTAAAAAGCAGGCCTGCCAGTTCAATTTGAATTTCACATAATGAATAACTTTTTAGTGTAAATATATCCCAAACATTGCATTAAAAAATACAACTATGTTGCAAATATTGATGGTTTTATTTTTGTTTTGGTATTTTGAGTCAGCTTCTTGCTGTTTAGTCCAGGCTGGCTTTAAAGTTACTGTGTAGCATAGGTTGAACTAAAAATGGTGGGGATCCTCTTACCTCTACCTCTTGAGGAGTACTGGGATTGTAGGAGAGTGTACCACTATGCCCCGATAACAAATACAGAATTTTTAAAGAATAAATATATCCCAGGCCGGATGTGGTGGTGCACGTCTGTAATCCCAGCACTTGGGAGGTTGAGGCAGGAGGATCACTGTGAGTTGGAGACCAACCTGGTTACAAAGTGAACTCAAGGCAGGCCTGAACTACATGACCCCTGTCTCAAAAAGACAGTAAATAAAATTAAAAGTATTCCAAATATTGCGTAGGACACACTAAAAAGTTATTCACCGACATTCATTTGAAATGGATGTGTCTGTTACTAAACTTGTCAGCCTTAATTTGAGAGATTTGGTGCATGGGGAAAATGATAGATCTTCAGAGGCAGTGAGGGGAGCAGGTGAGCTTGCTCCAGTCTCTCCAGCCAGCCCTTCTTCCTAGCAAAGGACCAGCGTGGGGAGACAGTTTCAGATTTTAAAATCAGGTAGACAGGGAGGTGTTTGCAGCCTGGACTCTTGAGTGATTTCGGTCACTTACTACCAAGGGACTCCAAGATCGACAGGACCACCCAAGAAGGGGGGGATCTGCACAGCCTCTGTGATCCTTTTTGAACCAAAGTCCCATTCTAAGGGGCTCACTGAGGACTTGCACCACCGGGTCCAAGGCAAGGAAGCGGAGACAAAAGGAGTTGAAGACCCAAGAATAGCACGCCCTCTAGCGGCCGTAATGGGGAAACCAGAAGGTGTGAGCACTAGCGTGGTTGTGGAGAGCCTAGGAACCAGAGTGTACCCCTTGATCAGGCCCAGGATCCCCACGAAGACTCGGATGCCCTGGATCTCGCCTTGCTCTTCTCCCTTGATGTAGAAGTAGGAGCCAAAGCCTGGGCCATGTAGCTCTGGGGAGAGAAGCAGGAAGGTGAACACTGGGGTGCCCTCAGGGCGGCCGCATCAGGGTCCCATGTCCCACCTGAACTCACCCTGGGCGCTGCAGGCAAAAACGAAGAGGAGAGTCAGCGTGAGGAACAGCAGCATGGCTCGCGGGGCACAGGCTTGGTGGTCAGGAGCAAGATGACACTGTGGGGAGGAGACAAAATGTGAGGGGTCCTGAGACCCTCGGAGGTTGGACAAGAGGACATTTGGGAACCTGTCCCTACGGGACTCCAAGGGCTTAAGAAAAACCCCAAACCAAGCCTGGTAGCCCAGGTCTGCAATCCCAACACTGGGAGACTAAGGAAAGAGGATCACAGGTTCAAGGTCAGCCTGAGCCTTGAACCCTTTCTCAAAAACAAAACAAAATAAACCAAACCAACAAAAAAGATCACAAAGCTGGTTCCAAAGGCATGCATCCAGGGCCAGCCACATAGCTCAGCGGACTAAGGTACCTGCTTAGGCAGACGCAGGGACTGGGGTTCATCCCTAGCGTGTAGTGCCGGCCCAACCCCCCAGGGTACACTGAGACAATGACTGAGAGACTGAGAGATTGAGACTGAGCGTGGTGGTGAGCACCTGTAATCCCAGCGCGTGGGAGGCTGAAAACAGGAGGATCATTACAAGTCCTGTAGCATTGGCTCAGAAGGTCCCTAGGTCCCTGTGCCTGCTGCAATGCCCCAATGTCACCATCCTAAAACCTTCATAAGGCTTGGTTCCCCCACACTGTCCCATTACATTGGACCCCACATGAGTTTGCAGCCAATCCTGGGAGAGAGACCTGTACTGTGAGGACCCCTCCGTCCCTGCATCCATATGGGTCGCAGATGCCCCTCCTGCCTCTCCTCCCAATACAGTGCGGGCCCCACCCTTCCTACCTGTGCTGCACAGTCTGAGCTCCTCAGTCTGCCCCTTTATACCCAGGGATGCTCAGTCATAGCCACTCCTATGGGACCTCTGGGGCCCCATCTTGGCAGGGATTTCTGAAGGGCCCAGAACTCTATCCAGGGCGTCACTATTTATGTTCCTGTCCACAGCCCCTAGACAATTGAGCCCCACAGGACAGGCCATGCTCTGTGAGTCCGCTTCTGAGACACAGGAAGGTCTCAGAGCAGGCCCCTTCGGCGATGCCAACCAGCTCAGGCAAAGCAGCCAGGGGACAGTGATTATTCTGGGCTCCTGAGATGTGCAGAAAGCATGGGAGGGAAAAAGCAAACAGCTCCTGCCCAGGTGACCTCACACAAAGCCCGGTGGTAGAATAGGTGGCCGGTCTCGGGGTAGAGGACAGGTCCCTGCCTAAAGGCCTCTCCCCAACACACCCTGAGTGTCACTGATTTCAGTGTCCACGGATGCAGTGTTCACCAGGCCAGAGCTCCTGACACAACAGGTAGCCTCTGTGCCACTAAAGTTCCCATTTTTCCAGCCAAAGACCCAGAGACACCAGGAGGCTTAGTGCTTTGCTTAAGTTTTCAGGGGGAGTGAGTGGCCCAGGCCAGCTTCCAGCTCAAGGTGTCTAACACCTCTGCCATACTCAGAACCCTTGCACCACAGAAATGCCAGCCAGGGGCCATCTATTGCCCTGCCCAGGTGTCCCCGGGACTCCCACCTGGGATCCCATACCTTTTCCCTCCTGTTGCTCATGCACAGCACAGCCCTGGACAGAACAGCCCGATGCCTGCCTGTGGTGCCATCGAATCTGTCTAGGGACATCCCCTCCCAGAAAACAGGCCTTCATCTGCCTGTCCCCAGAGTCCACAGACATCCCGGGCTAGGCTGAAAGGCTGGGAGGCCTGGGAGGGCGGTGCAGGTGGGTGGCCACGCCCTCTGCCCGAAGCCTGGGCGGGGCCTCCTGGGACCGGAACCGAGGGCTGAGTGGTGGGCCTGCCAGTCTGCTAAGCTCTCAGCAAACAACAGCCTCACGGGAAAGGACACCCAGACCAAAGGGCTGGTAGGCTAGCTTCTCCTTGAAATAATTAAACAAAAAAAAAAAAAAAAAAAAGAAATAATTAAACAAAGCCCATTTTACTTATGTAAGAACATTGACATGGTCAGGGATCACTATAGGGAGGAGAAAGGGGCCGAATCGTGGGCCCTTACCTGATGCCCATGAAAAATATGATTTGTATTTTCTCCTGGAATAGCCAGGGACCTTAAAACGATATTTTTTTTTTTCTATACAGCAGAACTCTTCATCTTGATCAACAGATGCTGAAGTTAACTAAAAGCAGAACGAAGTTTCACATTCATTTTGTATTCTTTGTTGCTTTAAAATTGGGGTCAAATCTCTTCTCAGCTCTACACATAAATATGCTAATCATTTAGGGAAGGTCTAAGAGTTGACAGATACTGTTGATTAGCCCTGAATTTACATAATCTTACCATCTTCAAGACTGAAGGCACCAGGCTAGGCAATTTTCTGGGACAGTCAACTATGCCCATCAGCTGTCCTCAATCACTTGGTAACACAACAATTTCCCAGCCATAAAGCTTCCAGAGGATGACACTGTAGCTGATATAATGATCAACCAGACTCCCAGCTAACCCTTAAAAGCTGGCCTCCCACTCTTTTGTGTGGGTCATCCTCTATGTGAGAACATGCCCCCTCCAGCTACCTAAACTGAATCCCTTTCCTATCTTCCCTCTAACTTTACAATGACAGTTTTGTCCTATCAGTTTGTGCTTTAGTTTTAATTTCCATTATTAGTAAAGGCAAGGACTCAAACCAGCTGGCAACAGGCCTGCTAGACACCCTCCACCCCAACCCTTGCCCCAGCAGTCTGATGGGTATCTGAGCTCCAGCCCCAGGCAAGGGGTCACGCACACCACACCACTGGCCATACATTACTTTACCAGTTTTTCTCCTTCTCCCAGCTGTTGATCTCCAGTCTCTCTGGGATTATCTGTATCAATTCATATGTTATGAAAGATGAGCTTTCTTCTTCTTCTTCTTCTTCTTCTTCTTCTTCTTCTTCTTCTTCTTCTTCTTCTTCTTCTTCTTCTTGAGACAGGCTCTTATATGTGGGAGGAAAAGGACCAGCAGAGACCCCCAGGCTTGTGTATAGGCCACATAGCATGGAATTTATTATGCCTGGGTGCAGGCAGAGAGTGATAAGGGTGTTGGTCTCAAAGAAAAGTGTATACCTTTTATAGGGATTGAAAGAAGACAGGGGATATTAGGCAGGAAGATTTTAATAAGCATCTGTGGTCAAAGCTCTCTGGCAGTCTTGCACCTCAGTAGGTAAAGTCCTTGACAGTTTTTAAGGTTTTAAGGTGTCTCCAGATGTCCCAGGACCTGCAAAATTCCCTGTCCAATCTTATCTTCTTCATAACATCCTGTGCTTGCCAATGACAGCTTTAGTACCAAGCTAAGCTCCCTGCAGACAGCAGAGCCTTGGCTGGCAAGCAGGCTTGGGGCAGAAGGAGTTAGGCCCAATATGAACCTTACAGATCTCACTGTGTAAGAGGCTGGCTTTGAACTCACTACATAGCCCAGACTGGCCTCAAACTCATGGCAATAGTTGACAGTACAAGCGCTGGGAATATAGGAATGTGCAACCATTTTTTAAAATTGTGATAAAATATATAACAAAATGTACCATTGAAGTGATTTAATGTAAAAGAATTAGGCAGAAGCTGGGAGATAGCTCAGCGGCTTAGGCACTTGCCTTGCAAGTACAAAGTCCTGAGTTCAATTCCTAGTACAAAAAAAAAAAAGAATGAGGCAGAAATATCACAAGTTTGCAGCCAGACTGAGCAACTTAGAAAGACCCTGTTTTTTAAAAAAATTAAGGCTAGTAATATAGCTCAATAATGGAGTGTTTACCTAGCATTGTGAGGCCCCGGATTCAATTTCCAGTACCACAGAAATTTTTTTTAGATAGGTATAGTGGCATACACATATTCTCAACAGTCCAGGAGATGGAAGCAGTAGAATTACGAGTTTGAGACAGATCTGGGTGTGGAGGACCACCTGAGCAGCTCTCCTTGAAAGAAGAGCGATTGTGTCCATTTTGGCTGAACCTGACCCTATTTCCTTGTATTGATATGTACAGAGCTGGCTAGGACTTCTCTCTATCCTTTCAATTGGCCTTAAGCAATGTATATAGATATAATCAAGGTGGTAGTCTTTGAAGGTGGCATGCATGTTTCCCTGATAACCCACACCTGCTGCTCTTTAATGTGAGTTGGGTCAAGACAGGATGAAGAGTCAGTGGTCTGCACTGCTGGCTGGGATCAAGCCTGGAGCCTTGAGATAGGAGGCTATGACTTCCTGGAGCTTGAAAGATGACACATCAGAGCCAAAGCACCAGACCCCCCCAAAACATTAGATACTATCTCAATAGCATAATGTAAATTACTTTTTCTGCATATCCTCTCTGCACATGGCAGAGGTAAATACAGGCCACCTACATACCTCAGCCCACAGTACTCACCTACTTCCTACAATTCTCAGTCATTTTTCCTCAAGCCATTCCTCCTTCACTGAATAAAACGTGGGTGCAGCCCTAGATCACCCTCTTTGTTCCAGAAAGCCATCTTCATGGCTAGACTTAGGGCCTCTTGGCTCCCCAATAACTATAAATATGTTTTAGTGTCTTTACTTTCTCCGTCGGTTGCGCTGGGAGTGGTAGATTGGCATTAACTTGGTGGGAATCCAATAACGTATCTTTGGGATTACAAATATTGACTTCTTGGTACAAGACAAGAACCTGGAGGAGACTCCTACCCTGGGGAACTTAGTAACTTAGCAAAACTCTGCCTCAATTTTTGTTTTAAATAGGGTAGCCCTATCTTGATTGGGTTGGATCCAGATGTGAGTCTGGGCATGTAGTAAGGGAACAGAAACTAAAAACTGAGGGTCACTCTATTTTTTTGGAATTTTGAGATAGAGTCTTGCTAAGTCACTAAGTTGCCTAGGCCTGTCTCAAACCTGTGGTCCTCCTGCTTCAGCCTCCTTGGAGTGCTGAGCTTGCAAGTCTGTATATGCTACCATCCAGGGCTATAAAACAATTTTTTTTAGCCTACTGGAGATTGAGCAGGTTGAAGTCATACACAATACTTCTGGAAAATAAAGCCAAGAACACATCACTGGAGAATGCAACCTG